GTAGAGCTACAGGCCGAGGGCAACCTGCAGAAAGGTACAGGGAGAGAGAGAGGACACACTATGGGAGAGAGGAGAAACAAAGTTAGTAATGTGTAATGGTGGCATATAGAAGCATAAGGAGAGAGAGGAGAGGGGAGGAGAGGAGAGGAGAGCAGGAGGGGAGGGGAAAGAAACTCAGAGCATCATGGGGCCCCCCAGCAGCCTAGGCCTATAGCAGCATAACTAAGGGAGGGCTCAGGGTCCTATCCACTGGTGACAGCTGGTTGGAGCGACATGCAAAGGAATGGAGTCTCTGATTCTTACCCTCATACTGAATGACTAATACGATGGTCTGGGTGGTTCAATATACAGTAGGTGCTATGATGAAACTGTCCTTGAGCTACGCAGACACACTGTATTGGCCTGAGGACTCCAGGTGAAAATTGTGAATAGGATGTACAGTAAAAACAAAAAATAGTACTGCCGCAAAAGCTTATTTTTGTTTGTCGTCAGTCCTCAAAAAATATTACAGTTGTATGAGAGAATTGGGTTACAGCAATTTGTTTCCTGACTTTGGCAAAAATCCATCTGTACAGTACAGCACATGGCTACGGCCTAGAGAGGAGGGCAGCTGAAGCAGTGAATTCACACTTTTTGGCTTTGAGTGTGATCTAGAAGGGAGCTTACAGAAAATAAAGGCCCATCCAGACCCATCTGAACATGTAATGATGAGCATTGTTGTTGAAAGCTGTGAACATGGCAAGAGGGTAAGACATCCAGGCATCACTAGGTACAGTGCTGTGTACTGTGGTTTAAATGTCAGCTCCCACTTATCCCCTTTATTAATAAGTGTGAGATTATATACATGCACAAGAGGCCGGTGTCCTACATGAACTCAGTGTTGTGGAGATAAAAGGAAGGGTATGGCTCATAAGTTCATAAGATTTGAAACAACATGTAATTCCTGGCTCAGACTGACAGTTTTTTTTTTGGTTTGATATGATGGTCACTATGTCAGATTACATGATTATAGAGTTATACGGTCTGAGATGAGGGATATGACAGACTACACCCTGGTAGCTGACAGATCACAGCCTGCCATCATTCCCAACTCAGAGGTGCCAGGGACCAGGAGAAT